GCTTTATAAGTATGTATGATATATATATATATGTGTGTGTGTGTGTGTGTGTGTATGTGTGTGTGTATGTTTTAATTATGAAATATCACCATGTTCACTGATTAGGCGTCCTTGTTTTAAGTTGTTATTAACTAAGAGATTAGATGTCATTAAAAAAAAACTTAGATTAGATAAACATTAATAGAAATCCCTAAAATTGTTGCATAAAATAAAATCTAACCTTGTTTCTAAACTAAATTAATCAAGAAATTACTCTTAAAATTATTTAAAAGCCAATAATCTAATCTTATTTACAACCTTGTTATTCAATCCTTGAGTTTAACTGTTTAAGAAAATAGTAAATCCCAAGAACTCATTCCGGTCACGGAAAAAAGATCTCTCAATGCTAATGTGGAGAATAAAACCCCAATTAGGAAGAAAAAAAAATCTTAATTTGACATTAAGAATAACATCCTCTCCATTGTTAGCTATTAAATTTGCAACATCTAGATTCAAGCAAGAAGCACGTGCTCGCCACTATCCTTGCTTTAGTTTATGTTTATTTTATTTTGTCTAGTATTTTTCTCCTTGTTGAATTAGTCTAGACAGTGGGTAGTTGTCCACCTGTACTTTCCTGTCTTCTAGGTAGTGGTGTTGTAGTAGCAGTTTCCTTGTTTAGTTTGCCTTATATGGCTTCCTTTGTAGTTTGTTACTCTTAAGTTATTCAGAATACACAAGTGTTTGTTAACTGTTTGTTTCCTTCATCATTGCTTTATTGTATTCCCTAGTTGTGTACTTGGAAGATTGTCTTTATCATGTTAAAAAAGTGGTATCAGAGACTGCATGTCAATGGCTGAACTTCAACTCGTTGGTGGTGTTAAGAACCTTAACAATAAGAAGTATAGCAGACGGTCTACTTGCATCACGTCATACATGCAAGGGAAAGACCTATGGGAAGGAGTGAATAGGACTGAAACTAAGCAACCTGAGGCAGCATACAATGATAGGATCTTACGTAAGTGGAAGATCAAGGCTGGCAAAGCTATGTTTGTTTTAAAAACAACTGTTAAAGAAGATTTACTTGAGCATATCAGAGATGTGTCAAACTGAAAGGAAGCATGGGATATCTTATCAGCCTTGTTGTTAAAGAAGAATGATACGAAGTTGCAAGTTCTTGAGAATGAACTTCTATCTGTTTCCTAGAAAGGTATGACCATCCCACAATATTTTCACAAAGTTAAAGCTATATGCAGAGAAATTGTGGAACTTGATCCAGACTCTCAAATCACTGTAGCGAGGACGAAAAGAATAATCATCCATGGGCTAAAACCGAAATTTAGAAGTTTTGTAGCAGCAATTCAAGGTTAGGTAACTCAACCTTCCCTTGTTTAATTCAAAAATCTCTTGGTTGGATAGGAAGCTTTATCAAAATAGATGGGAGGGGTAACTATCAAGGATGATGGAGAAGCTTTGTATGCAGAGAAAGGTAAAGGAAAAAAGGACTTTAGGAAATCACCGGTACAGAAAAGATATAGACAAAAATAAGAATCAAGAAAAAGAAAAGAAAACTTACAAGCATAAGACAGGAGAGTCATCTGAAGAAAGATCAAATAACCATCGTTATAATAAACGATTTCTTTATAAGTGTTACAACTGTGGTAAAAAAGGCCATATGGCACGTAACTCTAGATTTGAGAAAGTGGAAGAAAGGAATGTTGCAACATCACAGGACAAAGAGGTGTGGGATACAGAAGCGATGTATGTTCAAGTATAAGATGTTGATGATGCACTAGCACTTACAGCCACCACTGAGAACAATCGAAACCATTTTGATGAATATATTGTCGATTCGGGCTATTGTAATCATATGACTGGGGAACATGAGAAGCTTTAAGGTTCAGTGAGTTATGGTGGCAGCAAGGTAGTTGTAATTGTTGATAATTCCAAAATTCCAATTACACATGTTGGAGAAGTGGTGTTCTATCTAGAAGATAACAACAAAGATCTAACACTCGAGAATGTGTACCATGTCCTAGGTATGAAGAAGAACCCCCTTTCAGTCTCGCAGTTAGCTTTTATTGGCCATTATGTGTTATTTGGACCAGATGATGTGAAGATTTTTAAAGAATTTGAGGCCCCCTCGAAACCCATTTTGAAAGGTAGATTATCAGGTTCTATCTATGTCATGTAAGCAGAAACGACTTATGTAGATAAAATGAAAAGAAATCAAAATGTAAACTTGTGACATATGCAGCTGAGCCATGTGAGTTATGATAAGCTTGAACTCATGATGAAGAAACAGATGGTTAAGGGCCTTCCTAAACTTGAAGCTAGAAAAGATGTTGTATGTGTCGGATGTCAATTCGGTAAGTCTCATCAGCAACCATTTAGCAGATCAGAGTACAAGTCTTGACCACTATTAGCACTTTTACACTCCGATGTGTTTGCACCAGTCAAGAAACCTTCTGTCAAATCTATGGGGTACATGGTAACCTTCATAGATGATTTTCAAGGTATGTTTAGGTGTATTTCATGGCTGAAAAGTCTGAAACATTTGCCAAGTTCAAGGAATTTAAATCAGAAGCTAAAAGAGAAACAAAACACAAAATTAGTTGCATCCGGTCTAATAATGGAGGGGAGTATCTCGCAACATAATTCAATGAGTACTTGAAAACAAATAAGATCAAACGACATATGACTTGTCCAAATACACCACAACAAAAAGGGATTTTTAAGAGAAATAATAGACACTTGGGTGAGGTTTGTAAAAGTATAAGGCATGATAAAAATGTTCCAGGGAAATCCTAGGCAGAAGCAATGAAAACAA